AAATAAGAGGATGTGGTATAATTGCCAATAAGACAACTCTCCACCAGAGACCAAATGACATAGTATTTAACAACTATAGATCACCATACGGCCTTCAACAATGAGCAAAACCCATACCGCATAGTCAGCTATAAAAGGTTCCGAAATGACAAATGTAAAAAAAAATCAAACAAGAAAACTAACGGCCTGATTTATGTAAAAACAATGAACGAAATACAAATATGATATACAGCAACAAATGACAGCCACTGACTTACAGGCTCCTGACTTGGAATAGACAAATGCAGAATGTGGCGGGGTTAAACATGTTAGTGGGTGCGCCACCCTCTCCCTAACCTGGAACTATCATTGTGTAACAGTGCAAGATATGAACAAACTATAAAAAAATCAGTTGAAAAGGGCTTAACTCATCAGATCGATACAAAGCAGAAAAATAAGTAACAAAAACACAGATCGGATGCGGCATGGTGTTTATACATCCCTAACAACACAAAAGACACCTAAGAACATATCTGAGAGTACTCGCAGTTACTGACAGCTAGTTCAAAGCCAATAACACCATATAAACAAATCGTGTGTCTACAACTATAGTCTATTCAGAAACAATTGAAATTGATTCAATAAAAATGGAGTTCTACTTTTATTAAATCTAATTCCAATATGATAAACTTAATAAGATATCCTTGATATTATATATCTTAAAAGATAAAACCTAATTAGATTTCCTTGATATTATATGTCTTAAAAGATAAAACTTAATTATATAGGTACATGTATCCTTGATATTATATATCTTAAAAGATATTTAAAGATTCTAAATTTTACACCTAAAAATTTTTGAAGTTCATCAATTGTTATATACCTATAGGCTCAAATATTAATCAGCGCTATATGTACATATATGTTTATTAAATAGTGTTCCTACGTTACAACTTTAAGAACAACGAAACGAAAAATAGTTTTTTCAAGCATTTATTTTTGTTTTTGTTTTATAGAAAATTTATGCAAATAAATCCAAATGTCATTGATGTCTTAAGTAAACAGCTAATAACGACTTAGCTAGACTTATTTTTGTAGACCAATTGAATTATATTAATCTGATTATATAAAAAAAATGAACAAAAAGATTTATTTTGTATTCAGCCAAAGGACCAATCTCCAATGAAGCCAAGTGGAAAATAATATCAACAGATAAAACAATAAAACCAAATGACGGTTGCGATATTCAGCTTGTATGAATTAAACGATATATGAGGTATACGCCAATGAGACAGCAAACCAACGACAAAATCAATCAAAAGACATCCAGAGGGTAACAACAGACAAATGTCTACAAATGTCTATACAATAACAAAAGCTTATAATTCAAATCTAACTTTTTAAGAACTTAATCATAACTCTTTAACACCTACATCATTTACATGACACAATCATAACTCTTCAACACCTACATCCTTTACATGACACAATCATAACTCTTCAACACCTACATCATTTACATGACACAATCATAACTCTTCAATATCTACATCATTTACATGACACAATCATAACTCTTTAACACCTACATCATTTACATGACACAATCATAACTCTTTAACACCTACATCATTTACATGACACAATCATAACTCTGTAAGACCTACTTCATTTACATGACACAATCATAACTCTGTAACACCTACATCATTTACATGACACAATCATAACTCTTTAACACCTACATCATTTACATGACACAATCATAACTCTTCAACACCTACATCATTTACATGACACAATCAAAATCACTAAAAATCATGCCAATTTGTATAATATCCTTATAGCTTTTCCCGTATCCAAAAAACAGAACTGCACTGTTAAAAACTAGATGACTCTAGTTCATATCCCAACTAATTGCATCATTGTTAGTATATTTACCTCATATCTCAGTGCAGCCACATCAATGCATTGACAGTTTCTGCTGTCGTTATGGATGCGCCATAACTTTAACAGACCAGACCAGAGAATCAAATTATTTGATATATGTTTTATTTTTGAAAGTTTTGTGTGCATTACTTTAAACACCATATAAACATAGAGTTCGGCTTGCTGGACATATACCACATGCAGAAAAAAATAAATAATTTGAAAATCACTAGTTATAAAAGACCATTTCAGGAATACAAAATGTATCTTTATAGGCCAAAGACTTCGATTATCTCCCACATAATATATTTCTTTAAAATATTTTGTCATGTCTTTTTTAAAATCAACCATTGACACTTTTAAAAAATGTGTTGTGTCTGTCCAAGGCACAGTTCTAGCCCTAAAGTTAAAATACTATTTTAGTCTTAGATGCATGATTTTTTTATTAGTTGTTATTGGCTTTGAACTAGCTGTCAGTAACTGCAAGTACTCTCAGATCTGTACTTAATGTCTTTTTGTTGTGGGGATGTATAAGTACCCTTCCACGTCCACTCTGTGTTTTTGTTATGTATTTCTATGTGTATTCAACTGATGAGTTAAGCCTTTTTCAGCATTTTTAACATTTTTATAGTTTGTTCTTCTGTTGGACTGTTACACCACTGTCCCAGGTTAGGGGAGGGTTGGCGCCTTCAAACTAGTTTAACCCCGCCCCATTTTGTATGTGCCTGTCCCAAGTCAGGAGCCTGTAATTCAGTGGTTGTCGTTTGTTGCTGTGTAACATATTTGTTTTTCGTTCGTTATTTTGTACATAAATGGGACCGTTAGTTTTCTCGTTTGAATTGTTTTACATTTGTCATTTCGGGGCCTTTTATAGCTGACTATGCGGTATTGGCTTTGCTCATTGTTGAAGGCCGTACGGTGACCTTTAGTTGTTAATTTCTGTGTCATTTGGTCTCTTGTGGAGAGTTGTCTCATTGGCAATCATACCACATCATCTTATTTTTATATAGTGTAGTCTTAGCCCTAAAGTTAACATACTATAGTGCAATCTTAGCCCTAAAGTTAACATACTATAGTGCAATCTTAGCCTAAAGTTAACATACTTAAGTGCAATCTTAGCCCTAAAGTTAACATACTATAGAGCAATCTTAGCCCTAAAATTAACATACTTTAGTGCAATCTTAGCCCTAAAGTTAACATACTATAGTGCAGTTTTGGCCTAAAGTTAACATACTATAGTGCAGTTTTGGCCTAAAGTTAACATACTATAGTGCAGTTTTGGCCTAAAGTTAACATACTATAATAGTGAAGTATTCGCCCTAAAGTTAACATACAATAGTGCAAATACAGTTTTTTTATCGACATTCCCATTCTACTCTAAATTGATCAATCAAAAATTAAACGGGGAGTCATTTTCAAATGATTACGTGTTTGAATTTCATCGTTAGCACACATAGTATAAAAAGGAAATATTAATGTATTGTATAATTATATTTTCAATTGGTAACAGGCTAGTTTAAAGACTTGTATGAAAATTTTCCCTTGGAATTGAGATCCATACTATAGTTGTTTAGAACTACAAAGATTGATGGAGGTATGGATTGGTGTTAACATAAATAAGAAGATGTGGTATGAGTGCCAATGAGACAACTATCCATCCAAGTCACAATGTGTAAAAAGTAAACAATTATAGGTCAAAGTACGGCCTTCAACACGGAACCTTGGCTCACACAGAACAGCAAGCTATAAAGGGCCCCAAAAAGACTAGTGTAAAACAATTCATACAGGAAAACCAACGGTTAACGTCTAGTTGCAAATATTACATTCATGCAAGGACGAGAGAGTGTTAATGTGCTATGAATATGAAACCTGTATCCACGAGACCACCATGGTCCACCACGATTAAACTATAAAGAAAATGATCGAATTTTTTTTATATTATGTTATTAATGTCATGTTATTTCCAAAATTACAGCATAAAGTTCATGTCATCGAACTTCGTTTCAAGCTCCACAGGTTTTGCAATTATCACATTTTACTAGGATAGTTGGTGGAAAACATCACAAATATATGAACGGGGAGAAAACAATAGGATACAGTTTTCAAATAAAGTACGAGAAGATAGCTTTTACTACAATCTTTCAGGAAAATGTTTTTTATAACTCATTGCTATACATATTGTGCAACCAAAAATGAAATATAACATTCGGGTTACCTTTCCTTATATTTTAAAAGACTTGAATGAAATAAAAAAAGGAAAAAAAATTCCCAAATCTGATGCAGATCAAACGAAAAAGGGCCTAAAATATAACCGAACCTTTACAAGGAATCAGAAATTAACGTTTTGTACGTTAGAAATATTGAGTTTTCGAGAGAAATTTTTATTTAAATTAACATTAAATGATAGGTTCGATAAGGCCCTAAAATGGCCCCTATTTCTAGCCAAAATTTCAAATAAGGATTATTGTCCAATATCACAATGAATCATAGCTAAAACAATGACTAGATAGGAAAAATGTCTATATGTTGAAAATTTACAGAATTAGCTTTCTTTTGGGAAATCTGTTACTCTTTATATTCAAAACGGCCTTATAAACTGCATTCCACTGAAAATATTATAATCTTTCTGGCTATTTACTGCTCTGACCAATGTTTTGATATATAACAGTATAATGAAAAGTTGTTTTCAATATCTATTCATGTTTTTTTTTCTTTTTTTTAATTCTAAACGAATAATTATGTTGTTATTCGGTAATATGTGTACTCCAAAAATTGAAATTCGTTAATTTATTGATTATTCAAACAATAAAACACTCAACTCCACTAGTTAATTTAGAAAAAATTCAAAATGAGAAGTAAATATATCACACTTTTATAATAATAATCCAGTGTTATAAACAATCTTGTTTCTTAGCCTTTTGAATTATTGAATACTGTCGTTGTGCAAGAACAAAGACATGTGTTTTACCAACTTATTGATTATTTCTACCTGTTGACATTTTTTCCTGGATTTTTAGCTTGTCATGTTGTCATGGCAATATTATATATTGACGTAATAGATTTGATTATCAATATTAATTCTTCAACAACATCACTGATTTACTGTTATCAAATTGAATTGATTTTCAGATAGGAAACATGGAAGAGGACGGAGTGAGGACCACAATGTCTTAAAGAAATCAGGTGTATTGGCAGGTAAGAAAACATCATATATCTCGATATATACATCACACCTACATATAAAACTACTGCTCTTTCGTGTATCTTTACTGTAACATGTATAAATTTAGCATAAAATTCCACAAGATAGTTGAAACTGCAGAAACCTTAAAGTATACTTGTTGAGCGTAGGACATTGATGTAGAGGAAAGAGCTCGGCGAGACATCACAATGATAACATCAAACCGATGATAATGAGATGTTGTATGCTTGTCATGGAGACCAATGTCCACAGGAAATCAAAGGACGTAGATATAGGCAAGTATAGGTCATCGTATTGCCTTCAACACTGAACAAACCTGTACTGTCAGCTATGAAACATTTCCACATGACAAAATGTATAACAACTCAAACGAGAAGAACTAACGATTTATGTACAATACATCATGATACATTAAACAAAAACAAACAACCAACGACAACCACTGAATTTACTTACTCCGACAGAATACTTATTACCACAGTATACTTATTACCAAGTAGCACATGGGTAAAGTATTGGTTCTTTCATTAATTTAAGATGCTTGTTGTGTACAAGTTGTAATTTATTTTTTTTCTTTCGCCATGTGATACAAGATCATTTTGATAAATTAGCCACCAGATTCATGTTTCACTCAAAAATGTATATACTTCAACCTACCATTAAGTATTGTCATCATTGTCATAAAACTGCAAATGAGGACACCTGATTGGTTTAGATTCTATTTTTATTTTACACAAAATATATTGTAGTGTTCATATCAATGCAATACAAGACTGTAGCGTGTCGTCGTGAAAATATGATAGTGATAAGCTAAACCAATGATAGTGTTCTTGTTTTGTCCGGTTCACAAAATACTGATATAAACTTATATACAAATTCTGTACAATTTTGTACACAACATGGAAACCATAATCAACGTATTCCCTGACTAAAACGGCTCTTAAGTTTATATATACTTTATGATTTGTATATGCAATATTTAAGCGTCCTCTGTTGTTCAGAAGTATATATCGGATATCGGTGATCTAGCGTCCTCTGTTGTTCAGAAGTATATATCGGATATCGGTGATCTAGCGTCCTCTGTTGTTCAGAAGTATATATCGGATATCGGTGATCTAGCGTCCTCTGTTGTTCAGAAGTATATATCGGATATCGGTGATCTATAGTTGCTTACATGCACGTTATTAGAACTCTGGTGGATAGCTGTATTAGTCACAATCATACTACATGTCCTTATTTTCATTTCGGAATCGAAAAAAAACGACTGTTCTGGCATCATTATTTTTCCCCAACGGTATAAAATTGAGAATGGAAATGGGGAATGTGTCAAAGAGACAACAACCCGACCATAGAACAGACAACAGCAGAAGGTCACCAACAGGTCTTCAATGCAGCGAGAAATTCCCGCACCCGGAGGCGTCCTTCAGCTGGCCCCTAAACAAATATATATACTAGTTCAGTGATAATGAACGCCATACTAAACTCCAAATTGTACACAAGAAACTAAAATTAAAAATAATACAAGACTGTCAAAGGCTAGAGGCTCCTGACTTGGGACAGGCGCAAAAATGCGGCGGGGTTAAACATGTTTATGAGATCTCAACCCTCCCCCTATACCTCTAGCCAATGTAGAAAAGTAAACGCATAACAATACGCACACTAAAATTCAGTTCAAGAGAAGTCCGAGTCTGATGTCAGAAGATGTAACCAAAGAAAATAAACAAAATGACAGTAATACATAAATAACAACAGACTACTAGCAGTTAACTGACATGCCAGCTCCAGACTTCAATTAAACTGATTGAAAGATTATGTCTTCATCATATGAATATCAGACACAATCCTTCCCGTTAGGGGTTTAGTATCATACCATCATAACATATATGAGAAGAACATAACCCGTGTCATGCCAACAACTGGTTTTTAAATAAATGTGTTTAGTGCCGATGCAAAGACCCTATAAGTGAATCAATATTAACTCCAAAATATGCAATCTTTAATGACCTGACAACAGTATCGTAACTATATCCCTTCTTAATAAGTCTATTTAAAGGTTTTGATAGCTTCAGAGGTGAATACTGACATTTTTGTGCTTTATAAAGAATATTTCCATAAAAAATTGGATGTGAAATACCTGAACGTATAAGAAGTCTGCATGTTGAGCTATATTTACGAATGATGTCCTTATACCGATGATAAAATTTAGTAAATGTTTTGACTAGTTTGTGATATCGAAAACCCTGGTGTAATAATTTTTCAGTAATACATAAATTTCTCTCGTTAAAATCTAAAACATTGTTACATACACGAGCGAACCGTACAAGTTGAGATATATAAACACCGTAAGATGGTGACAAGGGAACATCACCATCTAAAAATGGATAATTAACGATAGGAAATGAAAAATCATCTCTTTTATCATATATTTTAGTATTAAGCTTTCCATTAATGATATAGATATCAAGATCGAGGAAAGGGCAGTGGTCATTGTTAGTATTAGCTTTATTTAAAGTAAGTTCAACAGGATAAATTTCTTTAGTATACATACTGAAGTCGTCATTATTGAGAGCCAAAATATCATCCAAATATCTAAAAGTATTATTAAATTTGTGTATCAGATGTTGTTTCGATGGGTCTTTGCTGATTTTTGTCATAAATTGTAACTCATAGCAATACAAAAAAGGTCCGCAATAAGTGGTGCACAGTTAGTTCCCATTGGAATTCCGATAACCTGACGATATACGGAATCTCCAAAGCGAACAAAAATGTTATCTAGTACATGTATTTCAGATGTTATATGCAAATTATAGAGATTTTGTTGTGGGTTTTTATGCTAGTCACTGGCACTGTATATTCATTTTTCTTTCTACTTTTTTGCTGTCTCAACTTCGTAGATTCTAGTAATTTACTGAATAATTTTTTTATATATCTTTGTTGACTAAAACACAAAGATGTTCAATTATCGGCCGATTTAATGTATTTGAAGTTTTCATTTAGTATTTTAGAGTTTCTAAATCAATAATGTTTTAAAGAGGACTTCTAATAAAAGTAATTTATTATTGATTTAATATCGTTAATTAATCTTAAAAGAAAACTGCACAAAGAACACAAGCCTTAGAAACAAAATATTAAGTTCATTCAATATCTTCATTGTTAATTAACTAAATGTTTGCTTCGAAACCATTATAGATCCTTTATAGTTATTTGTTTTCCAGCGCATCTCCTTATATATTGAATATGACAAGATATACTCTTATATAAACCGGTATTGTGTGTTAAACAAGGGCCCATTTCTTGCAACTAGTGAAAGTTAGATAAAAGTTGGCAAAATAGGGACAAATATGCTGGCTTTAAAATTCCCTCCAAAGAAAAGCTCGACCAATTATAGCGGATTTAAAGTGATTTGTTTCTCTTGTCTTAACTTCTTTAAAAGCCAAAGGTTACAGATTTAACGAATTTTGTAAAACTGCAGAGATTTCGGCAAAATAAGTCAACGTCCGATCACAAACAATTGGTGCAGTATAGCATAGCAGAACGTACATTGTAATTTTCAATTTTTCTTTAATGAAAAAAAACTGGATATCGTTGATGAATTTAACTACTTGGGCATTATTCTAACAAGAACAGGCAATTTTAATAAAACAAAACAATTAAACGTAGAAAAGGCCACTAAGGCTCTTTACGAAGTGTTAAGACTAGGTCGTCTTCATAATCTTTCTGTATGAAGTCAGTTGGACTTATTTGATAAAATGGTGAAACCAATATTACTGCACGGTTGTGAAGTATGGGGTATTGGAAATTATGACATAATTGAAAGGGTACCACCCTCTTACATGATTTATGGGGAGCTTGGAAGATATCCTATAGACTTGGACATTAAAACTAGATTGATCTCATTTTGGGGGTAATTCTGATAAAGTGACGAAACTATCATATACTTTATATAAATTGTGTTATCACATGTCTATTAATAACAATGTGAATTTTTCATGGTTAAACAGGGTAAAGACTATTTTAAATGAATGTGGTATCCCTCATGTATGGGAAACACAGTCATTTATAAATTGCAAATGGTTAGTTTCATTCATCAAGCTCAGACTTAAAGATCAGTTTGTACAAGTCTGGCATTCACTGCTTGAAAACTCACCAAAAGCACTTAATTATAAACTTTTTAAAGATTTTTTTGGAAAAGAAGATTATTTTGAAATTCTTGGGAACAAACAATTGAACAGGGTAGATGGACCAATATATTTAGAAATAATAGACTGTGTCGTCTATGTAATAAAAATGACATTGGTGATGAATTTCATTACATATTAGAATAAATGTAAATACTTTGAAGAAAACAGGCAACATTGTTTTTCACATTATTATTTTAAAAATGCAAATATTGTTAAATACAAGCAGATTATGTCTTCAAAACACAAATCAAAACTGATTAAACTTTGTAAATTTATAAAGATTATCAACACAGGTATATGTGCTCCTGGCTAAAATGTATTTCATATATTGTCTTGTCAATTGTCTTGTTTGTTCTGTCTTATTGTAAATATTGTACATAAAATGTCTTCTCTATACCTATATATATGTATATGGTTTATTGAGAATAAAGATATATATATGTGTACGTTCTGCTATACTATATTTTCTTCTCAAATGTTATGATGATTCCAGGTGGCTTTACATATCTTAATTTAATTACTGAATTACATATGTACTTTGAATAGTAGGTGCCATACTGACTAATCATTTGAAAGGACTCAAATCAGTGTTTGCAGTGTCTTGTTTATCAATACCTATAATTAATTATTCATGAAATTTAAAACCTAAAAAGACTATTTGTAAAAAAACGTGTGAAATATGTGACATAAATCAATGCAAACTAAATCTAAGTGTGAAAACTCAAAGGACTGTGTATCAAAACGAAATCACTTTATCCACCAAAAATCGGTATAGAAACTTGCCTTAACCTGTTAACTTTCATTGATGAACTTCGTTTAACATGTATAGGAATGTATAGAAAGAGATTACAACCGTTACATGTAAATTAAAACCCGTAAACATTGGGCCATGCTGCTTATGATAACTGTATTGTATTTTAAGCTCTGACGTCATTAATTGGTGATTTGATGGTCGCAAATTAAGTTAAACTGGTATTTGCGACCATCAAATCACCAATTGATGCCGCCGGAGCTTAAAATACAATATTGTTATCTCCATTCTAATGAAACTGACAAAAAACAACGTCAAATCATACATTTAAAATCTGCCATACGTCGTCTGCGCTTGCGCGTACGTTTTCATAGCATCAATTCACATAGCATCAATTGTGAATTGATGCCATGAAAATTGGTGACGTTATCCAATCAAAATGAACGTTACAAACGATGTTGCATTAGAATCAGGTTGTTTAAAATATAGGGAGAGAAATGTCACATATTTATACATGTTTTTTTTTACTTCAACTATATATATGCTTGTTTAAGTAAACATTTGATATGCATTTTGTAGACAAAGATCTTAAAATGATTAACGATGATTTAATTTGGATTTGTTCATTCTGTTTTAGGTGTATTAGATCAAACACATTATGCAAAATACAGACAAAATTGACGAAAGGTGCCTTTAGATATGAAGCAATAAAATGACAGCCACCAACTCAGAATACTCCGCTGTAAACCAAATAATACAGTTGGCATGGAGATACAACATACTAGTACAACCATGATATGAATCGATAGTAGTATGAATGAACCTGGCCTCTCAGAAGATATCCGCAGCGGCCAGGTTGTATTTTTAACATTAATTATTTGTATACTGTGGATACTTTGTATCCTAGGAAACGTATTAGTGTGCTTAGTGATTTATCGAAGCCGAAGGGTTCAGTCCACTACAAATTATTTCATAGTCGGTTTGGCTTGTACGGATCTACTTTTTGCCATTACAGCTCTTCCTTGGATAACAGGAAGTATTCTGGTGGGGAAATGGCCATTCGGAGATTTTATGTGCCGAATCACTCGCTTCCTACAGCATTTCACATTAGGTGTCACAGCTTTTGTTTTGACTTCTATCTGCGTAGACAGGTTTTATACCATAATTTATCCACTGACATTTAAAGTGACACGTGGTACGTCAAAAAGAATGATTGGAGTTGCCTGTTTTGTTTCGATGGTATTTTCGAGTTTTTCTCTGTATTTTTATGAAGAAATTGTGATTACTAGAAACAATGTGAGCCACCAATTTTGTCCAACATACATATCACCAGAGACGGCACGGTGGGCTGGAGTAGGCTATATCATTTCTATCCTTATAATACAGTATACATCACCTGTTATTATCATGATTGTGCTATACGCCAAGGTATTCCACTTTATATGGAGACATTCAGGAGTGTGTCTACAATTTCAAAGAACAATGAATTCCGTTCCAAGAACAAAAGTTAAAATGGTAAAAATGTTAATGATCACTGCTTTGTCAAACATTGTGTTGATTTCACCTATGTATTTCCTTCAGCTAATCGTTGGTTTCTTGAAATCAACTCCCATTGACAATTTTTGGTACTACGCATGCGTTATACTCGTTTTTAGTTCCAGTGTCATCAAGCCGGCAATTTACATGTGCTATAATTCAAACTTCCGCCGTGGATGCAGGGAAGTATTTTGCCTGTCTACCATGCAGTGTTATAGACGTGAACAATACACGATTACAAATATTTCTTCACTGGGAAGAAGAAATCACATTGGTGTAATGAATTGTACATCTCAACTCAACTCGCCATCACATACATTCGACAGGGCAGTAAGAGACGAGAAAAATAGTTGGCCTTTAAACGGAACAGTGCCTTCAACGTCAATTTAATCTAACTGTTTCTTCGTCCGAAACACAGTTCTGTTTTTACAGTTGAAATATGTTTGAGGTTTTTTTTCAGCTCGTAGCAGCTGAATGATATTATTTATATAAAAAAAAATATGTCATTTTTTAGTACTTTTGATTGAAGCCATTAATTGTCATAGCTCCTGACATTAGTTAGAAATTTGTTTAGAGTTGGAAACTTGCTTTACTTGACTAATAGCCAAAAGCTTCGGTTACTTCTTTGTGATACAAAAATAAAATTATATTCTTTATTACGTTGTTATAATAACATCAAAATGAGATTTGAAAGGTTTTTAAAGGTGGTGTGCTTCCCTGTCTTTGCACTGATTCACTTAGTAAGAAATGTCAATCATTTTAGATCTTTTTAAACATTTTCAACTAAACCGATACATCCGCAAAAAAAATGCCAAATATTGCTCCGTCGATATGTGGGTATCAATCGCACTGCTAATGCTAACATTTTTCTTTTCCCTTGTTCATAAAGGATTGTACAATTACCGTAAAAAAAAATCGTACAATTCATGTATCCTATTTGCCACAAGTTAAGAGATGACCAGAAATTTCTACTTCAAAATTCAACACTATTTCAGTTTTACATCTATATTTCACTGAAAACAATCTTGATTTTTACAGCATAATAATAAAAGATCAGTACTAAACTAGAGAGGTGATTTATTAATCCCGCAGTAACTGAGAGATCATATTATACGGAAACTACAAAACGTTGATTTTTTTTCAAACAACAACTAAAACTCGAAAATGACGAACATCGACTATTACTTGTCTTTATTGGCCAAAAACATTCCATTACAATTTCAATTAATTTCAATAAGGGGCTCTTCTATTTATCATTTTGGAAACCACTTGCAATTTTCCAATAATAAAGTACCGTAACTCAAAAACGGTAAAAATGAAAACAATAAAAATTGAAATTATTTATCCTTAATGGTCCAAAAAATTTCAATTAAATGTCAATTAATTTCACAAAGGGTTTTATATTTATTATCCGGAACCACAAAATTTTGAATTTCCCCAACCAACAGTCATAACTCATGAAATGGAAAAGTGAAAACGACGAAATCCCAGTATTACTTAACCTGTGTTTAATGGTCTTAAACAATCTTTTAAAATTTCTATCTATTTCATAAAGGGTTTCTATATTTATTATCCAGAAACCAAAACATTTGGAATTTTCAAACAATCAAATGCCATTCAAGTTATTCTGGAACCGCAAAGGACACAACGACGAAAATCGAAATTACCTGTTTTTAGTAGTCCAAAATATTCCATTAAAAATTAAATCAAATTCAAAATGGTATTCTCTATTTATCTTCTGGAAATCTTAAAATTTAGATTTTTTTCTAACATATAAGTACCATTACTCTTGTACGGTAAAAGTGAAAACTTAATTGCTTATATCTTTGTCATTCTTGAGGATAGTTGTCTCATTTGACAATCATACCACATCTCCTTATTTTTAAACTAACCTGCCTTCAGTGGTCCAAAACATCCCATTTCTATTTCAATTAATTGCAAAAAGCTAATTGTCATCTAGAAATCAAAAGTGTGACGGAAAAACAGACAGGCAGATAGACAGACGAACGGACATAAAAATTCCTATAAACCTCCGACTCTGTCGAGCGGGTGTATAAAAAGGGGTGAAGATGCAAAAGGAGACAACAAAAAACATAAGTAGAAGAAAAAACAGACAATATTATGGCATAAAGAAAAAGACGAGAAAAAAACAACAGTTCACAAAACACTAGAAAACACTGAAGACTGAGTAATACCAGTCCACCAGAAACTCATATGCCCCGGAAAAGATATGCAACAAACGAAACAAATATAAAAGTATAATCTAAACGATAAATTATGGGATATTTTTACGTAAATTTAATACTTTCTTTGACATTTACCATCTTTTTTCTCTGTTACTTATATGTTTAAAAATTATGAAACTTTGATATGTTATTGATAAAGAGACAGCTCCAAACTTAAGATCGTAGGAAAAAGACGTGAATATCGTAAATTTCATTGCCAGAACAATAGCCTAGTTAAAAAGTTTGCTATAATAGGTAAGGCTCAAACACGATCTAGACGTCCAAAAAAAATACTGAAAAAATACCAATAAACAAGAAACTTATGACTTTACTACTGGACTGAATGAAACACGTTCTATCTTGTATGTTTCCCTACACTGTCGGATAAATGTCAGCGCGTACATGTCGAATGTTCCAAAATTTCAATAGTTTGTCATTCCATCAGCCATACCTCTACACAGAAATATGTGCCACGCATGAAAAAAAAAACATTGTAGAATGTATCCATTTTAACCAGTTTGTTAGCATCCGCTATTTTACTTTTACGGAAAAAGTGCGCGTATACAAAAGATATAAAATTCTAGATTTAACTAGTTTGTTGACCTTTAAAAATATCCTTTGTAGAGAGAGAACGGATCCATAATCCGCGCAAAAATGTATAATGAAACCGGGATTAAGCTTCATTTATCCATATGGCCGTTCTCTCTCTGCATAGAAAAAATGAAAGACTCATTCAAAATATTTAGAGTGTGGCAGGATTTAACCGCTACGTTTGAAAACAACCTCACTTCTTTTCTTTAATCTACTACAAAAGTATGGCAAGCACGTATTTAGGCAATCTACTTTAAGCCCCTAACCGTCATTTTGGCAAAAAACATTATCACGCATGTATATCGATTGTGCTTAAGCATTTTTGAAACAGATTCCACCACTATAACTCGTTTATAACGATATTTCTCCACTCTCAACTGTTAAATTTTAATTATTCAAAATATATAAATCTAACTGTCTCGAGTGGAGAAATATCGTAACACACTTGATGCAGTGGTGGAATCTATATTTCTCTGGGTTTATTTTTTGTTTTTTTTTTATTGGGACCACTAAGGGTATTTTGGTGCATTTTTTGGGGTAAAAATGTGTAAGATTTATTCCATAGAGAATTGTGTTGAGGAGATTTTTCTTCATTTTAATCTTTTATATAAATTGTTTAATTAGAGTTTAAAAAAAATTTGAAAAACCAAATAGAATTGATCCAATGAAGAGTTAATGTAACAATATTGAATTGTGATGGGCGACATCTAATACATATAGTTGAGAAACGGGGAACATTGAGTACGGTCTTAAACAGAAATTAATATATTTTAAAATATTCGAGACAAAAGCAGAAGGTATGATAATGTTACTTTTAGGCCCCTTGAATTCGAAAATCAAAAAAGTATTATGAATCAATCAATTTGAACATTTGTCTGTCTCAGATTTTTATATTTTTTTTTATAATTTTGTCTTGCATATTTCTGTTATGGCTTCTTCAAACTTCTTACAGATACATGAAAAACTGAAAAATATACCAAAATGACTTCACTCTGAGATCTTGTAATTAATATTTGGTTTTCAAGATTCAAATGCTTTATTAACCCCAGACATATGGGGATGATGAGAAGACAGATTTATGAATAATAAAACAAAGACAAATCAGACAGTAAAAACACGTTAACATGAAAATACAACCACAAACGATAATAGAATTCTCATATCATATTTCACAAAAGTACTTTTAATTGGCCTTACCCAAAAAGAAATTTTGCTAAAAGATGTTTTTTTTTCACAAATTTGTTACGAAAACATTGGATTTTGTGTATATGCAATAACCGCAGATTTGCCCAGTCATATTCCTACCCGGGTCAAATAACCGGTTATTGTGCCCTGTTATGACGTTATTGTTGTTAGGAACTCTTATGACGTCACGACAAGGCACAATAACTGGTTATTTGCCCCGGGCAGGAATATGACTAGAATGCTACAAATATATGATATTATTCCACTGTTTAAACATATTATTGATAATTTAATCAATATTTGATTGGTTGAGACTATCCCTCGTGTCATTGAACAAATCTTCATATTCCATTCTGAGGATCATATTCCCCTCTGAAATGTCGGGATTACTTCGTGCGACGTTACGCGCGGTTAATGTACATAACGTTTTGAACTTCTTATTCTTCTTAAAATAGCGATAGCAAAAATCATTATCATGTTCAAATTTATTTCAGACGATAAAACAAAAAGACTTATAATTAGATTTTGATCCTTACTGTTTATCAATGGGTATGTCGTGTTTAGTTTGACTTACAAAAACAAGCGGATAAGAAAAAAAATGTATGCAAAATAATATTTAATGTATTGATAGTAAACAAAGAATAGGCAGTGGAATAAAACATTCATTTCCCTTTGCCTCGGGAGATATGAAGATTTGCTCACCCTCGAAAAATCATATTTCCCTCGGGCAGAGCCCTCGTGAAATATGAATATTCTTGGGTGAACAAATCTTCATATCTCCCTCAGGCACGGGAAATAAATGTATAACGTTCCTCCTAACAACAATGAAGGACGAGAGACGTCGATAAAATTGACAGCGGAATTTGTTAAAGAAATAAAGAACACTAATACTAAAAGACATTGACATTATAATATTCAAGGACTATTGTTTTGAACGGTTCGGGAGCTTCTTAATAATGATGTTATTTCAGTGGCGGACCTTGCCAGACGGAATGATAAAATTGTTTCTACTACTTTAAGCATTTGTAATATGTGATCAATAACGCCTTGTGCTCATATGGGTCGAGGGATGATACCAATGTCCCATATGGAAAAGGACATATTATAATTATAGATTATCACATATTTGTTACGAAAACATTGGGTTTTGCATATGCAATAATCGCAGATTTGTCCTAGTCATTTTCGCCCGGGGCAAATAGCCAGTTATTGTGCCCTGTTATGACATCATAAGCAGTTATTGTGCCCTGTTATTACGTCTTAAGCTTTCGGAACAACAATGACGGGACAGGGAACGTCGATTGAAATGACGGCGGAATTTGTTAAAGAAATAAAGAACGCTAGTACTAAAAGAAAATATGAAATAGACATTATACAATTTAAGGTCTATGAATTTGAACTGTTTGGGAGCTTCGTAATAATGAAGTTATTTCAATGGAGGACAAAAAAAAATGTATGATCTTGCAGACGGAATAATCAAATATTTTTTTATTGTTTAAGCATTTGTTTAATATGTGATAATTATATTATAACATGTCCTTATCCATAAGTGCCTTGGTATCATCCCTCGACCCATATGAGCGCTCGGCTAGCGCCTTGGGCTAATATTGGAGTCTCGGGATGATACCAGGGCCAATATTCTGCATTTCTGCACAAAGAGTGTCTATGTTATGTCATCCTTTTCATTTATCAGTAACATAAACATTATTTTTGAAAAACTTCAAAGACTTTTACTATTTTTACTATTTTGGTCCTAAATAAAGGATTTCGCCATACCTTCCCTTTTTTCATTACATAAGCCTAGTTGTTTCAGTGGAGAAAATATTTCTAAAAATTTAATCAATTGAATATTGTCCCCTCTAAAAGTGTTTTCAACGAGTTGGTCCTTTTTAATACAAATTTATATACAGGGTCATCAGATATATGTTGAAAATTAGCTATAAGAACTTCTTGTATTTCTGTTGTAAAGTTTCTTGGAATAACTAACGTATTTGATTTTAAATGATAGTTGCGAGAGTCGTGACTCGAGACGTCGATGATATTTGCACAAGAATACATTTGAACAAAAAAAAAACAATCAGCAAATATTTTTTTTTTTTCATTCTGTGTACCATATGATACCACTATCGACATATTCTATAGATAAATTAAGATTGAGAAACACTTATTGTCTGTCACGAGTTAGGGAGCAACCATTTACCTTCAAGGGGGGGATTATGGTTTTTTGTGTGAGTCAGAAATTTTTTTTGCGCAGAGTGCGAACATTTTTATTTATTTTTTCGACGCTATCAATCAAATTATTTTTTTTCAAAATTAAACACTATAAGGTATGGGGAAAATCTGGATTCAGAATATTTTTTTTTTTTTTGTCATCTGCTTGACCACAATATTTTTTTTCATCAAATTGGGGATCAGAATATATTTTTTTTTAAGAAAACATAACCCCTACACACCCCCCCCCCCCCCTCTTGAAGTTAAATGTTCGTTCCCCTTGTGTCACCTGTCGTGGTATGCAATAACGGACGCTTTGCATAAATATGGCAATCAGCTATTATGTTTTAGACATACACTTTAAGTCCAATTTCAGATTTAGCGAAAAAAAAGAACTTCAACTTTATGGAAATAACGATAGGTGTGTGCATGTCTACTGTTCTTTCCACAAAATAGCTAAATATGACATTAAGGCTTAGATTAAGTGGAAATTCTATTATTAGTGACTTTATTCTGACGGCAACTAGTCCTCGTACTCTTAAATTTTCAAGCGAACATATATCACCTTACTTTTGGTACCCTTAATATGTTACAAAAATATTTCCAAACGCATTTCCAGTTCAAAAATATTTGAGAAAAACTGCGTACTTCTAACGGCAACTGGTACTAGGCCAGTGTTATTATGTACTTTTTTTTATCTCGCAATATTTATCATATGTTAAATTCATATAAGCCTACGGAAGCGTATTAGCGCCACACAAACTTTTTTAAATATTTCTTCCAATGTTTGCGTTATAACTCAATCATAGGAAGACATATAAAAAAATGTCCTATCTCCAGAAATAGAGGTGCTTTATTTATTTAAGATGCTTATCATTTGAACAAAGAGTTACTCTACATGTCATTAAATTCAAATTCAATTCCTACATAATTTTTATATCTCTGTCAAATATCTATGATATCGCGTTTTTAAACTTCATGTTCAATTTCCCAACACTTAGAAAAATGGGACTTACAAAATTATAACACTCACACGACGATATATTGAAACTGATTAAGAACACAGAAAATAAGGAATCCATTTACAGTCTCACTTTCCATTTATTACATCTTTTTATGTAAGACTTTGTAATAATGAATTCTCTTTTTATGAAATTATTTCCTTATTTCTTACACTATCGATTATTTATTATAGTTTTACATATATTTACTGCTGTATACAATTTATAAGTAACTAGATGAATTAACTGTTTAGATGAATTAACTGTTTAGGAATGCATGCATGAACACAAAATCTCAACAGGAAATTAGATTGTGCACAGTTGTGCCATTTTATTTGATATGACAGATACCATTGGATGAAAAGATGCATTTACAGGTAAGGGCTTCAAAAAATATTTAATATTTTTTTTAGGATAAAAGATAGATTTGGAATGAAGGGGTTATGCTTGAATTCAAATTATTTGAAAGAGACCAAATGGTTGTTAAACAAAATAAAGTAGTGTCCTTTTTCAGTTAAAAATTTATCATTTGTCAAGAGCTCAGTGCTAAATAAAAATAAGGAGATGTGGTAGGATTGCTAATGAGACAACTATCCACAAGAGCTCAGTGCTAAATAAAAATAAGGAGATGTGGTAGGATTGCTAATGAGACAACTATCCACAGGAGCTCAGTGCTAAATAAAAATAAGGAGATGTGGTAGGATTGCTAATGAGACAACTATCCACAGGAGCTCAGTGCTGAATAAAAATAAGGAGATGTGGTAGGATTGCTAATCAGACAACTATCCACAAGAGCTAAGTGCTAAATAAAAATAAGGAGATGTGGTATGATTGCTAATCAGACAACTATCCACAAGAGCTCAGTGCTAAATAAAAATAAGGAGATGTAGTATGATTGCTAATGAGACAACTATCCACAAGAGCTCAGTGCTAAATAAAAATAAGGAGATGTGGTATGATTGCTAATCAGACAACTATCCACAAGAGCTCAGTGCTAAATAAAAATAAGGAGATGTAGTATGATTGCTAATGAGACAACTATCCACAAGAGCTCAGTGCTAAATAAAAATAAGGAGATGTGGTATGATTGCTAATGAGACAACTATCCACAAGAGCTCAGTGCTAAATAAAAATAAGGAGATGTGGTATGATTGCTAATGAGACAACTATCCACAAGAGCTCAGTGCTAAATAAAAATAAGGAGATTTGGTATGATTGCTAATCAGACAACTATCCACAAGAGCTCAGTGCTAAATAAAAATAAGGAGATGTGGTATGATTGCTAATCAGACAACTATCCACAAGAGCTCAGTGCTAAATAAAAATAAGGAGATGTGGTATGATTGCTAATCAGACAACTATCCACAAGAGCTCAGTGCTAAATAAAAATAAGGAGATGTGGTATGATTGCTAATCAGACAACTATCCACAAGAGCTCAGTGCTAAATAAAAATAAGGAGATGTGGTATGATTGCTAATCAGACAACTATCCACAAGAGCTCAGTGCTAAATAAAAATAAGGAGATGTGGTATGATTGCTAATCAGACAACTATCCACAAGAGCTCAGTGCTAAATAAAAATAAGGAGATGTGGTATGATTGCTAATGAGACAACTATCCACAAGAGCTCAGTGCTAAATAAAAATAAGGAGATGTGGTATGATTGCTAATCAGACAACTATCCACAAGAGCTCAGTGCTAAATAAAAATAAGGAGATGTGGTATGATTGCTAATGAGACAACTATCCACAGGAGCTCAGTGCTATATAAAAATAAGGAGATGTATGATTGCTAATGAGACAATTATCCACAGGAGCTCAGTGCTATATAAAAATAAGGAGATGTATGATTGCTAATGAGACAACTATCCACAATAGTTCAGATGAAGTGGGTGTAACCCATACCGTATAGTCGGCCATAGAAGGCCCCGACATGAAAAAAGTGAAAAACTTTAAACGAGAAAACTAACGGCCTGATTTGTAAGAAAACAATTTACGAAAAAACAATATGACAGCAATGAACCAACGACAACCACTGAACTCAGGTGGTTCCTGACTTGGGACAGGCACATGAAGAATATGGCGGGGTTAACATGTTTGTTTTTCGTAAATTGTTTTGTTATGAATTAGGCCGTTAGGTTTTCTCAATTGAATTGTTTCAATTTTTCATGTCGGGGCCTTTTATAGCCAACTATACGGTATTGGTTTTTCTCATTGTTGAAGGACTTACGGTTGCCTATAATTGCTTACATCCACTTCATTTGAACTTGGATGGATAGTTGTCTCATTGGCAATCATACCACATCTCCTTATTTCTATATTGTCCCCTAACTTTGGACAGGGGTGTAACCTATACGGTTTTTGACGGTTGTCTCTAATTGCTTACAGCCACTTCATTTGAACTTTGGTGGATAATTGTCTCATTGGCAATCATACCTCATCTCTTATTTTAATTTTATCATTATAAGTAGCAACACAACATAAGAACAAACTGTAAAAATTAGTTGCAATTTGCTTAACTAAAAAGATCGGTCCTGATTTCATTGTTACATTTTTAAAGTATATATAATGTGTTACGAGTATAATGAAAATAATTTTTAATCTTCACTATCATAACGAATTTATTTTCATATGAAAATAAAATGAAGGTTCAGAAATTTGTAATTTTCTTAGGCATTTGCGTAGGTCCAAATGAAGGAAATAGTGACTTGTATATTGTGTCTTTTTAATTATTCTTCCTTACTAACTGTTTTATATTTGTCCACAGATTATTTTGGTGTTTGCCATCACGTTCGTCTTAGACTATAGTGCTGATGCACAGTCAGAGAAGTGTCTTTTGCCAAGCGAGAGAGCTGCAAAATTTTCAAAAAAACCTAAATCAACAGCCTTCCCACAGTAAGTGTTCAGTAGAAAATATTCTCATGACGGGGCATATGGGCAAAACAATCAACAATTTATTACAAGAGGACATGAGACCGCATTTTTTTTAATGCTACGATCCTTTCATATAGTAGACAATCCATTTCAAAGCTCAAGGAATATTACAAGTCACCTTGAAATATGGTTTTGACAAAGGAATCCCTGGGCATTCATTATATGTTCTTATTGTTATTCTCTATATCTAAACAATTCTGCTCAGTTACTATCACGTATCACGGTCTTACAACATCGGAAATATCAAAATCTAACAAACGGATCATATGTTTGACCGGAAGTTATAACGAAAAGGATAAGAAAAACATTGATATAAAAATATGCCTTAAAGTTCATCAGAAGGAATTGAAATGGCCGTGTTAACAGCACCAAATTTACTCTGAGTACAGACAAACCAGTGTCTTTGAAAAAGTTTTAAGGCATGGTATGTTTCAGACAATTTCAAACTAACATTGACACAAAGACTCCTTTTTTTTTCGTTTCCACATAAGTGCCACAATAAACAAACTCCTGAATTTCATTTGATACGGTCCACTCATTTACACAGTTTAAATCACCTATCCATGTGCAGGTATCTATTGTCCATGTCAATTTGAACAACTCACTTGTAGTATTACATAAGGGAACATCTCAAACATTTTTTCGAGCTTAGTTTATTTTGGCATCTTCTGCGGGACAAAAGAAATCTCAAAATCTATGAAAAATTTTGATGTTCTGAAATATAAAATGCATTTAAAAATTAGGATTTATTTTGTGACTTATACTTTAACACACTAGACATATAAAAAGAATGAAAGTGTATTTCTGAAACGACCTTTATTAGTAACGCTAAATGGTCAACTAGGTCTGATGGAGATGGCACCATGTTACGTAGTTTATATATACAACAACTCGTTCGCTATGCCTCTGTAGTGACGATTTGGATTTCAATTAACGTAATATATGTATTACTGGCTAACTATTCAGTCAATTATTTCAAAACCACAATTACTTAAAACTTTGACTAAATTCTTCTAAATTTGGTTTGGAATATTGGCTGTACTTATGAAATACTTATTACAAACGGGATATAGCTGTAGCTGTTTGTACGGTGATGTTGTTTACCGAGCCTGTAAATTTAGATATGATCCGGGTAAATTTATCGATCCTTTAAAAAAACTAAAAAAATAAAGGTTACCAATTCAACACTAAAATTAATTAGATCTCTCAATATTATTTGTTATCAGTAAATTGAAACCAAACTAAATATAATTGTTATACCATTGAAGTAAAATGAAATAATACTTCCATGGTTATACACATATGTACATTCACGGTTCTACAATCTTTCGATACCTATATTTTGGCATTGCATAAGGTCATGTTTTCTCTGACTGTTAATGACGTCTTTACACTAATTCCACTGGATGTTGGATGTGTACTGATTGATGAATTAGTCTTAGACACAGGATTTTTAATAGTTGTTATTAGCTTTGAACTAGCTTTCAGTTAACTGCAAGTACTCTCAGATCTGCGTCTTTTATGTTTGTATTGGGATTTTTATGTGCTTTGAATCGGAAGGATTTAGCCAGCAAACATGTTTAACCCTGCCACATTCTGTATGTGCCTGTCCCAAATCAGGAGCTTGTAATTCATTGTTTGTCGGTTGTTGCTGTATATCATATTTGTTTTTCGTTCATTGTTTTGTATATAAATCAGGCCCGTTAGTTATCTCGTTTGAAATGTTTTACATTTGTCGTTTCGGGGCCTTTTAAAGCTTACTATGCGGTATGAGTTTTGCTTATTGTTGAAGGTCGTTCAGTGACCTTTAATTGTTTATTTCTATGTCATTTGGTCACTGGTGAAGAATTGTCTCATTGGCAATCATACCACATCTTCTTATTTTTTATTTTGAAAATTGACAAAATTTAACAAGTTTCAGAATCTAATGCATTCTGGATAATACTTCTAAAAGCGTACACCGAAACGTTGTAATTGGCTTACAACGTCCTAATCCATGGAAATTCAACCAGACTTGGCATTAATTTCGTTTTAGGGGTTAAAACAATGACATTACCCATATATCTTTCGTTTCTGAAACGGCGAATTGCAAAATATTTTGAATATATTAAAATGTAACATGCGAAACACTTGAGATACATTAGTCGGATGAGACAGTAGAATATATATATATAATCCGAAAGATGGTACTAAATATTGTTAAGGAAACACTCATTTAAAAACCATTAAACTGCGAAATCCTAATACATAGAATGATTTGTAAAACTAGTATACAATGACGAGCATTGACGGATAATTTGATCGAACAAACATCAGAACACGGTTGGTTGAAAAATACATGTGGCGGTGTCGAATTTTATACGACTGTCATACAAGTGAGAGGTTTAGCTAGCTATAAAACCAGGTTTAATCCACCATTTTCTATATAAGGAAATGCCTGTACCAAGTCGGGAATATTATAGTTGTTTTCCATTCGTTTGATGTGTTTAAGCTTTTGAATTTGCCATTAGATAATGGACTTTCCGTTTTGAATTTTCCTTGTAGTTTTGTTATTTTACTTTTCATGTGTGTGTGTGTGTTTGTTTGTTTCTTTTATTTATTGAACTATTTTTACAGGACAGACTTCGATAATTTCATGAAGAAATTAAGGTTTAGGAGGGGTAGATTGCGTTCTCTGAATAATAAAATAGAAAAAGCTTGGAAACTAGCAGACCGATATTGTAGGTAAGTTCATCATATTCATTAAAAGTACATAGTTAGTTTTGCAGTACAGTCAATGCCTTCTTCACAAAATATGATTGATTAATTGATTGATTATTTGATGTTTTACGACATTTTTATTAGCGGAGGAAAATGGAATGGCAAAATATGCCATCGTCGTAAATGTATGGAAATGTTTTATAGAAACTAAAACAAGATGCTCAGCCTCAGAACTTTGGTAAATCATCCTTGATACATTGTTTGGAGTGAACCTAGATGAGTTTTATTTGAATTAAAAAATTATTATGCCCATTTTGTTATACTAAGGTATCATTATTATATTTAAGATTATGGTAACACGAGATATCATAACTGTTATGTGTTCAACTTGGCTCTACTTAATATGATGAACAACTTCTGTATACTTTTTGGATTTTTTTTTTTTACAGCCAACATGTTTAACCCCGCCATATTCTGTATGTGCCTGTCCGAAGTCAGGAGCCTGTAATTCAGTGGTTGTCGTTTGTTGCTGTATATCATATATGTTTTTCATTTATTGTTTTGTACATGAATCCTGTCATTAATTTTTTCGTTCTAATTGATTTACATTTGTCATTTCGGAGCCTTTTATAGCTTACTATGCGGTACGATTTTTGCTCATTGTTGAAGACCGTACAGTGACCTATAGTTGTTTACTTCTACGTCATTTGGTCTCTGGTGGAGAGTTGTCTCATTGGCAATCATACCACATCTTCTTATTTTTATATTTGTCAAAGAACTTGTTAAATTGATGCCTACTGGAAAAAAAATCTGATAGTATGTATGTTTTCTTTGATTCCGGAGTATACCTCCTTTCGGTTGTTTTTTTTACCGCATCGGAGTTCTCGTGGTTGGGGGTCGTGAGTTCGAACCCCGGTCTGATCAACCCAAGACTTTAAAGTTGGTATTTGCTGCTTCTCTGCGAAGCACGCGGTATTATGGAGTCTTGTCGGCTCGTAGTCAAAATAATGTGTCCGGGTAGGGTGACATGTCTTCCTGTGGACTGTTATCTTGTGAACTAGCACGTTACAAATCCGTTTAAGCATGTCGGTCTAGTACAAAGCAGAGTTAATATTCATATTACATGAATATGTTTTCGTCCTGAATATGCATTTGAATTGCCGCGGGACGTTATCTATCCTTTCGGGTTTTTATATACGTCTGTTAGCTCAGAAAACAACCGTAAACACAGGTAAACATGCATGATGCACAAGATAATCAATAAAGGATTTGCATTTTCCATGTGTTAAATAGCAGTCCAGAAATTGTGACGAATTTGGTAAACCGATATAAACCGAAACATTTGTAAACGATGGTTTGCAAAATTCCAATTGTTTTTGCATGTTGGTACCTTAAAACATGTTTGAATTTCAAAGTGGCAGATGGGCTGTCTGTTTATAAGGAAATTGACACGATAAATATGGTAAAGAAAAATGAAATCACAAAAAATGAAACTTTTTAATCAGAGAGAAATTGGGGAAAAAAGTTCTAAAATGGAGACTTTCGTTCCCAAAAGCTAATTAATAACTGATGTGTAAAACAATATTTTTCTCAATTTACTATGTTTTAGAAAGCCAACATTTACATCTACGTTTGCTGGATTCAAAATAAAAGACTTTGAGAAGACTATACTGTGTCCAGGAAGTTGGACCAAAGCACAGTTTCCCGAAAATTTTATCGCTGAGAATGGGATGGCATGCTGGACTCTCAAGAACTTTCTGAAGATCCCTAATTGTCCTACATATAATTGTGGAAGGTAAGAATGAATGGATCTCACGTATTGATATCATTTCACATCTATAGACCCCAAATTACTTTTTTTGAGAGCAGTAAAGTAAACTCGAATCTAATATAATTAAATGAAAATAACGCTTCTTAAATTTCGTGCCGGGTCCGAAGCGCTTTCTGGATTTACTTTCATAATGCAGGAACGCTCAAACCTAAATTGAAAGTTAGGGATGTGTAAATACGTCGAACGTTAGGAGCGATGTACATTATAATAATAATATGTATTTCCTTTATTTCAAAAGGATAACATATATAGTCCAAAGACTAGTTTACAATAAGGTCCTGCATGATATACATATAATATAGCATAAAGTGTAAAATTCAGTAATAAAAACTAATACAAATATTAAACTATGACTATAAAGGGGCCTTAAAAGAATAGCTAACTTCCTCTTATGTCAACTTTGCCTGAGGGAGTTGGAACCTTACTTTCATGATAATTTCTGAATACTGGAAATAAATAATAAATAGTGGGTCTAGACTTCAGATTTCTGACTGTAACGTCGGTTATTGATCACTTCCATATATATAGTTGTTTTACTAAAACATGTCTCCAAATAGTGTTTAATTGTTTAAATTTTGTCAGGAAACGTTTCAAATGATTGCTTCTCACTGATTTTATAAGTTTGAAATTAAAAAAATAAATGTTTTTTTACAGTGGAAAATGTGCCCTTGGTGAAGATTACCCGGATCCCAAGGCTGTTCCTGTAGTCAAGTATATTTGTCAACTATCCAATTTTGTAGACATTCCATTTTACGCTGTCTGTAAAAGCGGTACCAAAATCGACGTCGTGAAAGAAGTTTTAACAGTATCACGCTGTTGTGGGTGTAGTCAATTAACGTGTAAACATACTACGTAATAAACGATTTTTATAAATAACTTTTCTTCTTTGATTTGAATACAAAGAAATGACCTATATGAGTTATAACGCAGTCTTATTTCCTCAACTATCCAGGCAAAATAAACACCATAATAGAAAAAACATATGATATGAGGTATCATCCCATGACTCAAAATCAGTACATTTACAGCAAGAAACATATAGTTATATATAAAAAAAGAAGATGTGGTATGATTGCCAATGAGATAACTCTCCACAAGAGACCAAATGACATAGAAATTAACAACTATAGGTCACCGTACGGCCTTCAACAATGAGCAAAGCCCAAACCGCACAGTCAGCTATAAAAGGCCCGAAATGACAATGTAAAACAATTAAAACGAGAAAACTAACGGCCTAATTTATGTACAAAAAATGAACGAAAACAAATATGTAACACATCAACAAACGACAACCACTGAATTACAGGATCCTGACTTGGGACAGGCACATACATACAGAATGTGGCGGGGTTAAACATGTTAGCGGGATCCCAACCCTCCCCTAACCTGGGACAGTGGTGTAACAGTACAACATAAGAACGAACTATAAAAATCAGTTGAAAGAGGCTTAACTCATCAGATGGATAAAAATACAAATACTACAATTAGTTTGAGTCAGAGGCTATTATATATCTTTCAAAAGAAACCTTCTTTCAGAGAGCAATTCGAGCACACAGTGTGATTCACTTCCTCACATCACGATTGCTGATTAAAGCGTTATAAAAAGCAAATATGCTTCCAATGTGAAGCAGATATCGATGTTAATCGCTGTAATTTAAGAAAAAAATCCCTTTTGGCACTAAAGGAAACAACGATGACGAATTATCAGATTTTAACAAACCATTAAGGAACACAAGTAAAAAGGGACACAGAGAACTACTGACAAATGTGTTAAAGCATCTTTGGTACAAAGAATTACTGTCAAATTCCCTAAAACAGTTTCCGGTACCGAAAACTACTGACAAATGTCATAAAACATCTAGATCTTCTGGTACAGAGATCTACTGACAAGTGTCCTAAAGCAAGTTCTAAATATCTTTTACATGGAACAACTGACAATGTCCTAAAACATGTTCCGGTACAGAGAGTTACTGACAAATGTCCTAAAGCAGCTTAAGTATGGAATATTGACAAATGTTCTTAAGCAGCTTCTGGTACAGGGAACTAGGGACAAGTTTCCTAAACTGACTTCCAGTACAGAGAACTACTCATAAATGTCCTAAAACATGTTCTGGTTCAGAGAACTACTCACAAATGTCCTAAAACAGGTTCTGGTTCAGAGAACTACTCACAAATGTCCTAAAACAGCTTCTGATACAGAGAACTATTCACAAATGTCCCAAAACAGGTTCTGGTTCATAGAACTACTCGCAAATGTCCTAAAACAGGTTCTTGTTCAGAGAACTACTCACAAATGTCCTAAAACAGGTTCTGGTTCATAGAACTACTCGCAAATGTCCTAAAACAGGTTCTTGTTCAGAGAACTATTCACAAATGTTCTAAAACAGCTTCTGATACAGAAAACTACTCACAAATATCCTAAAACAGGTTCTGGTTCAGAGAACTACTCACAAATGTCATAAAACAGCTTCTGATACAGAGAACTACTCACAAATGTTCTAAAACAGATTTTGGTACAGAAACTCCTGTCAAATGTCCTAAAGCAAGTTCTTTTTCAGAGAACAACTGAAAAATATCCAAAAATAGATTCTGCTGCAGAGAACTATTGTCTGATAAATATCTTAAAACAGGTTCTTGTACAGAGAACTACTCACAAATATTCTTAAACAAGTTCCGGTTCAGAGAACTATATACAGACAAATGTTCTATATTAGGTTATTGTAGAGAGAATTACTAAGAAATGTCCTCAATCAGCTCAGGTACAGAGAGATATTGACAAATGTCCCAAAACAGGTTTTGAAAATCTTAACTACTCACAAATGTCATAAAACAGGATATAGAGAACTACCTACAAATGTCATGAAGTAGCTTCTTTTATGGTATAGAGAACTGCTGATAAATGTCATGAAGTAGCTTCTTTTATGGTATAGAGAACTGCTGATAAATGTCATTAATTAAGCTCTGTTACAGAGAACTACAAATGTATCTTGTTTTAGAAATAGACGACCACACTTCGTAAAAAAACATTCGGATTCCAAGAAAAAAATATTTTATTAATTAAAAACTAATTGTTCAGAGAACAATTGAAGGTCTTTCCACCCAAAACGATATATTTGATATGAAAATAACAATATCCAGTTTAAGATGTCATTTCCCGTGTCAAATGATACATTTTGTATACTGGTTCCAAAAATATCTGGTTTATATACACTGTTGTTTGAAATAAGGGAGATAATATGTTACTTCCTGTTTGAAAAATGTAATTTCCGCTATTTTTTGATAGTTTACTTGACACTGATTCCAAAAATATATGGTTCTATATACTTTTACATTAAATAAGAAAAAAATAGCTAATTCCGGTTTACACAAGGTCAGTTCCGGTCGGCTTTTTCAAGATCATATGGCTTACAACCTAATGCAAAAAGTCCCATGGCTTTATCATGTATATATAGGAAGTAAAAGCAAGGGTCAAAATCTAGAACGTCAAATTTACCTATGACTTTGGCCTTAATTTCTTAGTCATTAACCAAGGACCTCAAATCAAAAGACACTAGGTCTTCATTATGTATGGTTACTGTGTTATATCACCATACGCATAATTTTCAATAGAATAAGGGAGAAAACTCCCATTTGATGTCTGGTACGTACCCTTTCAACCAAAATGTATGTGTTATGACATGTCGAAACTACCAATTTAGTAAAAATATGTTGTCGGTATCTTATACGGTTTTTGAAAAGAAATGAAAATAAGCCAAAATCAAAATTTAAAATATGACCTTGACCTTTGACCTTGACCTCAAATTTATTTTTATGAACCCATGACCTCAAATACACATACCTTAGGTCTGTACTACTTACCATTCATGTGATACATTGACATACCACTTATGTCAAATTCAAAAGGGGAAATAAGTCATATGGAGTCTACGAATTGATTCGGTTAAAATTGACAAATCATCCTTAGGATACAACGAGCAATTTAGTAAAATAAATTTGTCGCTTTCTTTTGAAATTTGGTGGAAGAAGAAAAAAATAATCAGGACAAATACAATAGATCTTTCCACAAAATAATGGTAAGACCTAATTAGACAACATATGTATTATATTTCATGGTTTATCTTTCAACAAACACTTTTATGGGAGCCAATCGTGTTTCCTCTTCTCGATTTTCCTTTATTCTAATGAGACCGACTTCAGAAAGACTAAAAGAAGCTCTCATTGTATTTAAAATCCACGTTCCGCTATATAGAAAATGTCCTTTTTCGACCGAATTATTTGATCTTTGGTGTTTCAGGTACAGCTAGGTCTTATTCGTCGAATAGATATAGGCAGCGAGGGTAATGTTAAGAACCAAGCTTTACGACACAAAAAATTATCACAGTTTTCAAATCTTAATGTAAATATTCCGATTCGCACATGATTCTAATCAACATTCATTCCACTTTCCTATATTAAATAAAAAGATATTTTTGTTGACCAACTTTGATGCAACATATAAATCATCGAAAACATGTGAAGTGGTGACCGGTGGAAATCATATGAGATGATTAGTCATTGCTTTAGCCTATATAAACTTATGAGTGATTCTGTCATTTTGATTTACGCGTGATCTCATCTGTAGCTTGATAACATTCAAGTTTCTTTTAGACAAAGTTTACCGTCAATAAAATAATATCTGCTGATATTTAGACGACATATCCAAATAATTTTTTTACCATCCGAGCCAAAATTTTTTGACTATAAGGAAGAAGTTTCCCACCTATTTGTAATTTTACTTTCAATGATGGTGACGTCATGATGGCCCTTATCACAATATTAACAACATCATTTAGTTTTTGATAATTCATTTATCAAAATCTTTACTAAATTCTAACAAAAATATAAAGACGTATTGTAAAAGTATAAAGTCAGACTTCAATCTAAAAGAATAACTCGCATGAATGGTTCGTATCGATTCACTTCCTCACAATTGAATAAAATCGACTTATCTGTTTTATATTATTTTCCTTTACTTCATTATGATTCTCTGAACAAATTTAGTGTGGACATTTTGCAAGACCATGTTTTATGCAGTCTTAATGTTGATTTTGTATAAAATTAAATCAATAATGCAGCGGTCATAATCAGAGTCTATAATAAAAGACAGTACATGTAATTGGAAGGTTTGAAGAAAAAAAACAATAAACACATTATAGTCAAAGGAAGTAATCACACCGGGTATCCCAATCCGAAATCCGCGGTGGAATCCGAATCTCGAAGTGCAAATAACGAAAAGTTTGTAATGGTTGGGAAGTCAAATCTGAATCTGGTTCACACGAGCACAATTCATCCGTTGGAATCTAATCTAGATTCTACTTACCCACCGTTACAAACTTTTCATGAATTGCTCATCGGGGTTCGGAACCATCTGCAGGTTCGGATCGGCATATTCGGTGTGCAATGTAGCAGTCTAGAATCACTTGCAAAATTGGTAACACATAACATAATCGAAAAATGGCTTTCGTATTCCTAGATTGTATAAGCAAGTAAAAATCTGGTGATATATAAATCCATTCATTCATATAAAATGGAGTAAACAATGATATAAAAAGCACCACGGTGGGATTCAGTCGAAAGGGGAAGTACTTGGGGCTCTTACCAAACATGCATTTTATACTTATTATTTGCGGTCAACATAAATGTAAATCATGTTTGTAATTAAAGTTCGCCGTATCTTTTCTTGTTCATTGTATTTCTTCAAGGTAGAAAAAAACATTTGGTCAGTTGAAAACGATCTAAATTACAGAAAACATGTATATACCATAGTACCTGCTTCAAGCAAATGGCACAATGAAAATGCCGTTAACATTTCAAAAGTACACAAGAATTCAATTCGGTGGCTGCGTTTATAATTTATAGATTTTCTTTTCATCAGTTCATAATGATATACCGTATTGCATTTTCTACATTTAATATACAGTGTTAAAATTCCGAGCTAAATGAATAAATTAATGATATTAATGCGTAAGTCATAATATATTATGTATATGAGAATTTATAAATTACAAATCAACCATATGTAGTTAAGATGATTTACTTTACAACAAAGTTCATATCCTGCAACAGTTTGAACAAGCATATTAGGCATGAAAATAAACATGCATAATTTCACAAAAGTAGATAAAGAAACTCGACATTATGCATTTGAAGGTAAGAAATTTTACAGAATGTTCTGATTTTTATTTGCTACTCTAGATATATTTGTTAAAATTTTTAATAAAGTTTTGTACAAAGTACGGTTCGTGTACATAAATGACATTATCAAAGTTCCTGATTATGGTCGTAATATTGCCCGCTGGACAGTATTTATTCAAACTGTGCAGTAGACGGTATTTATTGCTTTATCTCAATATATTATTGGGTGAAGTGGTAGGATTTCCAAGAAGGCGCTAACCGCCAAAGATAAGGAGTGAGAAAGTGCATGACTGAAGTACTATATTAACTAACAAAATCATATCAAGCCAATTGATTGTTCACGTTTTCTGCCTAAAGCCGAAACAATCTGTCAGCCATAATTGCTTTTGTTTATGCAAATAATAGAAGAGAACAGCAATCATAACACCAATTATTCCAGGACTTGTTGCCTTTAGTTATCATTTATAATTACTAGTAACTTACATTGTTGTCTAGTATTAGGACCAAAGCTGTTGGAGGTTGTGTCTGCTTGCTGTTAGGTTTAAGAGGTTTAAGGTAAAACACTAACACCAAAATATTTCTGAAAATCTGTTTGCAAACAAGAAATAAGCGGTTTCAAAGGGTTTGAACTGAAGTCTTTCGATTGCCTTGATCAATTTTTTATTCAAATTAAAACCTTTCTAGTATATCGATGTGTAGTTGCTAGGTAAAGTTATTGAAAGTTTTGACAAAATGGACATATCGTGTGGACATCTGTCTACTGTAAAGTCGTATACATCTTGTTTTGTTCATGCTTACTGTTTCATCACATCTTATTACCAGCTATCAGTAAAAATATCAATAAATGAAATTGAGTGTTTTATTGTTTTATTCATGCTTACTTTTTCAGCACATCTTATTATCAGCTATAAGTAAAAATATCAAAAAATGAAAGTCGAGTGTTCATTGGTTTTCCAGAAATTTCGTCAATGATGATAAAAAAAAAATCCTTTCAAAACTTGAAATGTCATATTTAAGGTTAAATGCAATATACCTAGGTCATGTACGACCTTCTTACTAAAGAAAAACCATTTCACGTGTTTGATTACTGTTTTATACACATTGAATTTGATCAATCAACATGTTTTGCTATCGTATAAAGCAGACCTGAAAAGCACTGGCGGCAAATTTTGCGATCTTAAATAAAAGTTGAAAATATCCTTCGTAATTTTTGTTGTTTGTTTCATAATTCAGAAATTGTCCAAAGACCTTATGTTCGGTTAACGCAATTTTAAAATTCTCCTTTCCTAATCAGTCTGCAACATTCCCAAATAAATAGCGTTATTCAATATAGACAATATATTGAAGATTAAATTTCTGCTTGACCATAGTTCTGCTTTAATGAATACCAGTATATACAAGTAGAAGGGCTTAATTGTATTAGTAAAAAACCAAATACTTTCTACTGAAAATTCATTAATTGAACTTCTAATTAACTTTATTCATTTTTTCTTTCGCTTATTTTCTATTTTCTTTCTCTTGATGTGAATATACTATACTTTTGCAACTCTTATTTCAATTCTTCATCTAAATAGTTTTTGTGGTTTACTTTGGAGGAGTTTGTCATATACCCGTACATGATAATCCACGTTTGTATCAGCTTCTCCTAAACCCGTAATCAGAATTTGCAGAATCTTTCTCAGAATCTTAACCATATAATGCAATTGCACTTCCTATGTTGGTTGTTTTTTATTCAAATTATGTTGGAATTTCCCTGAGCAAATCATAGACTTTGCCTGGCTTTGCTTTATGTTGGGTATCATTTGCTCGTAAAACATATAATAAGTTCTTATAAGATTTCCTTTGGACTCTCTGTTTGTCTCTTTTTTTGTAAATCCATATTATTGATTTCGATTGCCAAAATCTACCGTCAGTGTTTTCCTGGTCTGTCGTCAGTGCTTGCCTGGTCTACCGTGAATATTTTCTTGGTCTACCGTCAGTGTTTTCCTGGTCTGTCGATAGTGCTTGCCTGGTCTACCGTGAATGTTTTCTTGGTCTACCGTCAGTGTTTGCCTAGTCTGCCGTCAGTGTTTGCATGGTCTGCTGTCAGTGTTTGCCTGGTCTACCATCAGTGCTTGCCTAGTCAGCCGTCAGTGTTTGTCTGGTCTACCGTCAGTGTTTTCCTGGTCTATCGTCACTGTATGCCTGGTCTGCCGTGAATGTTTACCGGGTCTGCCGTACATGATATCATTAACATGTTGATTGGCCAAGTTCATTCGGCATATAACAGTTATTAAACAACAGAAATAATTCTTCTTTAAGAAGAAGATCGTACATGGCATATGTATAGTTTATGAAACCTTAAATGTGACGACTTGATTCATTGATATTTGTGTTTTTTTAGGTTGAAGTCATAACTACATATTTGATAGACACGTGGAAAATTGAATAGCAATGTGTGAAACAAACAAAAAATAGATTTACATACCTTCCATGCCGAAAAAACACTCGTTTGATCTGTTATAGGGTGCAGCTGCATTACCAATATCCGGTAATAGGGGGTGTTCATTGTTTTTCAGGAATATGCAGTACTTTTATCAATATTGTTTTGTGTAGTTTATGTTGATGGCGGTGATAATAAATGCCTTCTCCCTAGTGAAAGGGCCACGCTAAGGAGTAACAAGATAAAGATTGATGAAAAACTTCGATTTATACTGCCAAAGTTTTCAATGCCAAGGTATGTTTGTTACTAATTCTTCGAAATAATATAAAACAATTTAATTTCAATACAGATATATCCACAATGAATAAGAAAATAAAAGAATCTGCAGTGGATGGAATATCCGACATAGAAAATATACCACATTGAAAAGTTACAAAGACAAGACCACAAAAAAATATCAAGTCCTAAACAGTTTCCCACAACATTTACTGACGAAAGGCACATAAATAGAACACATCTTTTTGCCGATCATTGAAAAAGAAAGTTGAAGTTTGTCTACATATCGTCTAAAAATCATTAGAGAAACAGATTCCACCACCGAATCTCGTACAATACGATATTTCCCATCTGTCTGTGGTGAAGAAATAAACATTCCAATAGCTGGAACATATGAAGAAAACACTCGGAGTTGATTAGAACTTTTTTGATTGAAAGTTATTTAATGTCTTGAAAAAAAGATGATTTGGTAGATATGGTTTTCTTGATGAAGTTAAAGATAATTAATATATTTTCATCGGAAATAAGCCTCGAAAAAGATAAAATCTAGAAAACCACATATCCATCACATTTAAGTAATTCATTTTATAAAAGAGGATTCTCCATAGATTTCACCTTTTTCAGAACATAAGCAACACAAAATTGAAACTGTGTTCACATATTTAAAAAAATCCTAGATGTAAATACGATTTTTGTTTCTTATATTTGGTTGTCACTGTGTATTTTTGCATGTAATCCAATCCATTCTTAGTGGTCGAAACATTGTACATATTAGGAGATTGCCAATGGGACCAAATATCCATTAGAGACCAAAGGACGAGGATGTCACCAAATATAGACCACTGTACGGACTTCAACAATGAGCCAAACCCATACCGTATAGTAAGCTATAAAAGGCCCCGGCATGACAAAATGTGAAACCTTTCAAAAGAGAAAAACAACTGCCAGATTTATGCTAGAGACATTAAAATCAAAATTGACAGACAGCAACCAACGACAACCACATATTTGTGACGATTAACCCTCCCCTAGCCTGCGACAGAGTTGTAAAATCTCAACATAAAACAAACTATTAAAACAAGTTGGAAAAGGCTTGGCTCATCAGATCGGGCACACAAAGCACGCAAAAAAAAACCTAACAAAAGATAAACTGTTTATTTCCTCAAAATTGCATTGTGTTCAATAAATATATCTAGTATATACATATGCTACGTTTCAATGAGAACTTTAAATGTATGCAAAATGTTTGAATATGATGTTTACAATTAAATTTTCAAAAACAAAACATAATGTTATCTAAGGATTGAATTCTGTTTTTTTAATATGTGTAATAATTTTTAGTTAAATTGTAATCATCATTTGGCAAAAGAAGATCTTAAAATAAGATTTTTTTTGTTCAATTTGCGTGTTTGCCAACATAGACGCATGTGATGCATGCACAGTTGGGGATTCTTATCCTGTTGATCCACCTTGTCTGACTCCATGTGGACTGACAGTCCCCAAGATCACCACTCCAGTAAATACGGATTTTATATTATTAAAATTTGCTGTTACCAAATTTTTTTAATTATTTTAAATTAAGGAATATATATCCCCCCTGCAAAGCTCTGATTCCTTGCCCGGCTTTGGTTATACTTTTTTGTCCTTTTTGGTTTAGAGCTCTTCATCTTTGTAATAAGCTTTGGATTTTCAAATATTTTGGTCTCGAACAACACTGAACAAACATTGATTGTCGAAATGCGCATGGTGCAGAAAATTGGTACCGTGTATGTTATCATTGCCAACATAGACGTGTGATGCATGCACAGTTGGAGATTATTCCTCTGTCAATCCACCAGGTCTCACTCCATTTGAAATGTATGCGATTCGAATGTTACTCCCATGTTTGTCTGTGTGTATCTTGATTTCAGTTTCAACTTAAGTCGGAATACTAATATGTTTGATTCTTCCTGGTTCAACTGGGAACTTGATAAATCATAATTGCACACAAAAGTCTTTTATTATACAGTGAGTACCGTTAAAAGTATCTTCTTTACCAGAACAATGCTGACAAAATGAGAAACGTTACAAATAAATATATACACATTCACGCCGTGGAAGCAATTACTGATTCATTAGAACATCTAGTTACACCAAGGCTTTCCTTCTTCAGAAAAACATAATAACTTTAACATTTTTTACATTGGAATATCAATAGTATTTGTTCTGAATTAACTCTATTTTGTTTGTATTACTTTAACTTGTTGGTGTAGAGTAGAAAAAGTTGTATTTAAACACAAAATTCACCTAATAATCATTCAATATTCATTTTTTTCTGAGTTGTTATGCTGAATGAAAGAAACTAATGTATTATATACGAAGTCGTATTTGATGAATAAAGAAGAACTTTTAAAAAAATTGTGCATGAAATAATTTACAGACGTGTTAGAAGAGCTGGGAGGGACGTCTTTAGAGGTAAATCTACCATAGCCTTAAAAATTCAGGCTGCATATGAAAAGGCGGAGAGATACTGCGGGTAAGATATTAATATACATTGGATATGCAATTAGAACAGTGATAAAAGTGTTCAGTGAAATGTAATGATTAAATTATTGTAGTTTTGTCTGCTTGTGACTTGATTTCTTAAAAGAATCACAATTTTTTTCCAAACTTGCTAAGTGTCAGAGGAAGACAATTCTATCTCTATACTTGCTGGAGAGTATTAAACTCATATAACTTGAACATCTTGACCGTTTGTTTATATTCATGGCAGGTTATGTTGTTTGCACTGTAGTATATAAAAAAATGCATAGTGATACCTCCCTTTGAAACTCAGTTAAAAGTGTATACACCTTACGTTGAGGGGCGCATTTACCATGTAATGAGTGGTAGGGACAAGCCACTGGAATAGGTCACTATTTTCAGTTTCATGATATATGAATGATATATGATAAGATCGAGAAATTAAGATGAAATATATGACAATGTTGCTGATCTGAAACTTGTCAGATGTCAATGTTTGTTAACAAATGCGATTGAAACTGCAGTCGTAAATGCATCAGATATTTGTCAAATATATTTATCTCTCCATGAAATAGCGTTGTATGATAGTTGAAGATATATCGTTGTCCAAAAATATATAATAGGGTGTATAATTTTGTTATTCAAAATATATGAATAGGGTGGGGTACTCGATATGTTAGCTGATCACCCCTACCACAAAATGGAAAAGTTATAATATGAGAGCTAAAATCGTACGAAGTTTAACATACACTTTTTGTTTTCAAGCGTCCACTGGTGTGTATTAGTTTAAACATATTTATTCCAAAATACACTATGATTATAGGATTCGGAAGCAAGCTGTACATAGTTTATATTAAATTTTTCCTTGAAGTACCAACTCCAATTAACGATTTCATGGACATAGCATGCAATGTTACAATGATAGAGAACAGGAACAAAATAAATAATTACATAACAAAGAAATGAGAAAAAAAATAATTTGAAAATAATAAAATGAAAAAAGATTTTTTTCTTCTTCAAATCTCTTAAATACTTCACAAATGTTCAGATGAAATGCAACTTTGACAAAATAGTGAGCAACAAGTCAACGTGTAAATCTCTTGCACTTTTTCAAAAATATCCTGGTTCTGGTCTAAAGTTATAGCTAGTGAGCCAAACATAATTAGGTTTGTTTTCAGTATGACTTGATAACTAAATGAGAATAATGATTTCATTATGCAATGCGTCATATTGTTTATAATGCAATAGAAAATGAGCAGTTGATTCGATTAGACCATATTAGCAATTTGAAGAATCTACTAGATTCCGTCTGAACATCTGTTAATTAAAAGAACTACTGTTTATCCTTAGCCTAGCATGTAATATTTGACCCATTCGTGTACCAGTGCAGTAAAAATCAGGATAGTTATTATATAGCTTTGTAAACGACTTTTAAAAAGTACTTAAAGACTTAGAATTCCTATTTTGTTCCGGTAACTTATTCCACAATTTGATAGATGAAGAAAATCTAGAGTTTCTTTATTCACCATTTTATAAAAGACAGTGAGTTTGCGTTTTTCCCTTCTTTCTGAAAGTGTTTCCCCAACACGTTTCCTCATAGGGCATCTGCATAGAAGTTAATTTAGTCCCACCCGTCACAATTCTCGTGGCTTCAATTTGAACATATCCCACTTTATAAATCAAATATTGTGTTTGGTTATCCCAAATGACATCCCCGTACTCAAGCACTGGTGTGCATTGATAGGAAATACTTTTGTTTAGAAGTATCTTTTAAAAACGGCTCAGTGCTATATAAAATGGGATGTCTTTTAAGTTTACTATTTGGTATCATTATAATTCAACTTTAAAATGGTTTGTCGGCAATTTTAAATCAATATATGAGTGAAACATAAGCAATTGAAGGTGGCCATACTTCTTGCAAAGTTTAAGAACCACACCATTCCAATAAAATTATGTTAATTGATTATAATGCACCCTTTCTTTCATAGTGTGCATTTCAAACGGATTTTCTAGACATATCGGTTAGATAAGTAACCCAAGAATTGTAATGTTTAGATAAAAGAATAAATAAAGAAAGCTGTGTTGTCATTTTTCTTTAAAAAGCCCTTTGCAAATTTTTTTATTACCCCGCCGTTGGCAATTGGGGCATTAAGTGTTACCCTTGATCATCCGTCCTTCCGTCCGTCTTTTCGTCCTTCCCATATTTTTTTTTCGTTTTCGCACTCTAACTTAATTTATATTCATCCAAATTTTATGAAACTCACAAGGCTAAGAACCAAAACCTGCAGACAGAGTTCGAATTTGGGCAGTGAACCACTTACCTTTCTAGAGTTATGCCCCTTTATAACTTGGAAAATTGCATTTTTTTTCGTGTTCGCACTCTTACCTAAGTTGTCCACCTCCAAATTTTATGACACTCATACACAATGCTAAGAACCAAAACTAGCAGACAGAGTTTGAATTTGGACCGTCAGTCACTTACCGTTCAAGAGTTATGTCCCTTTATAACTTGGAAAATTTTTTTGTTTTCAAACTCTTATGTCTACCTTAAGTTATTTTTTTTTTACCCAAATTTTATCAAACTTATACACAATGCTAAGGATCATAACAAATTTAAATTTTGGCAGTATGTCATTAACCGTTCTAGAGTAATGCCCCTTTATAGATTAGAAAATTGCAATTTTTTCAGTTTCCGCACTCTAACTTAAGTTTGTATCATCCATATTTTATGAACTCATACGCAGTATCAAAAACTAGCAGACATGGTCTGAATTTGGGTAGTTAGTTATTTACCTTCTAGAGTAATGCCTCTTTATAACTTGGAAAATTGCAAAGCTTGAGCGGGAACATTCGTGTCCTCAGCCACATTCTTCTCTTATTTAAATAAGAGTTATTGAATTATACATAAAGCTAATATGGTTTATGACACTTAAATTTCAATTGCAAGTAACGTATTTTCATAATATGTAGTAATTTTAAATATAATCATGCACTGAATATAAGACCGTAGCACAAAGTGGGTAAAAACACAACGGTAGTGTATTTACAGAAAATTTAGATTCGAAAGTGATGTCACTCGTGGGTGAGTCTGTTGTAGACCAAACGCACGTCTGTCGTACAAAATTATAAGCCTGGGGCTCTTTTCACAAAAAAATGATAGTAAGTTATACTGAAATGTTTATGAGTTACGAGTGTTTTTATTCGGAAGATATTTTGTGATTTGAGTCGCTGGTATTTTTATGAGTCTTTTACTTATAATCATAGCTTAAGATATAAACCCCATAAACAATGAACGAATCAATGATATAAAACACGCATTAACTAAATTTAAATTTTTGTTAAGAAAGCTGTGTTGGCATTTTTCTTTATTTCATATATTTGCAAGAAAACCTCGTTACACGACAAAATTCCCGGGTTTTAACTTGAAGGACTTTGATAAAAAGAGTGTATGTGCCGGTTCCTGGAGCACTAGGAAAATTCTTACATATTATCAAGATCCGGATAATAATTGGAATTGCTGGACTCTGAAGCCCTTTGCAAAGTTAAACTGTCCAACTTACAACTGTAACAGGTGAGTTCGAGCATTTATGTTAAAAATTATACATGAAAATGCTCCGCGTATATTAGTTGTTTTCATTTCATTTTATCAATTATTATATATGTTGGTCTTTAAATCCTTTGGAAATAGTTCTGGTTATTATTTTTTTCCCGCCACTCTTTGTTTAAACTTTCGAACGCAAATTTTCTATTCTTTTAAAAATACAATCGCCTTAATGAATAAGACATATAACGTTATTTAAGGAATGACTGTAATATTTTTCTGTCTATGAAGAAATGACATAAAAAATGTGGTGCAAACTGAATAACCTGCGTAGTGGTTATTTAAAAGTGCACACCACATGTTTGAGGTTATTTCGAATAGACAGAAAAAATATTACAGTCATTCCTTATAACTTAAATCTAAATTCCATTTTTAATGAGTAAATCATGAACAAATGTTGATGACGTCACGGTCACATGACAAAATTATGTCTATGAGCTGATCGACAAAACACTTTCAGCGAATCAGAAGACGTGTTACAACCTAAATTAGATTATAACGAAATGTAAAGTTACAATATGATTACAAACGTTGCAACTGGCATTTCACGGTTAATCGTCATAAGACAATGCTAGTAACATTTTATACAACCAAAATTCAAAAGGAAGAAAAAAATAGTCGACAATGTCTACTAACCTTTCCGGAGCACTTTTTGGTGGGGTTCGTGTTGCTCAGTCTAGTTTTTTCGACGTTGTGTTTTGAATATGAAAATATGGAGATGTGGTATGATTGCCAATGAGACAACTATACACCAAATTTCAAATGAAGTGGATGTAAGGAATTATAGGCAACCGTATGGCCTTTAACAATGAGAAAACCCCATACCGTATAGTCAGCTATAAAAGGCCCCCGACATGAAAAATATGAAACAATTCAATTTAGAAAACTAACGGCCTAATTCATAACAAAACAATTTACGAAAAACAAATATGACGGACATGAACCAAACTACAGGTTCCTGACTTGGGACAGGCACATAAAGACTTGGCGGGGTTAAACATGTTCGTGAACGCTCAACCCTCCCCTAACCTAGGACAGTGGTGTTACAGCACAACATAAGAACAAACTATAAAAATCAGTTGAAAAGCGTTCAACTCATTAGATCGATACAAAACAGAAAACATCTAACAAAAGCACAGACCGGACGTGGCAGGATATTTATACATCCCTAAAAACAAAAAAGACACAAAGTACAGATCTGAGAGTATTTACTGACAGCTAGTTCAAGGCCAATAACACCTAATAAAAAATCATGTATCTAAGACTGAAATATCCATAAGTACACATTCAACATCCAATGGATTTAGTGTAAAGACGTCATTAACAGTCAGAGAAAAACATGACCTTGTGCAATGTTAAAATATAGGTATCGACAGATTGTAGACTAGTACCGTGAAAGTGCATATGTGTATAACAATAATAAATCATATGCAACCTCGTTTCTAACTCGTCGCCAGTAAACTTAATTGAATTCAAATCACAAATTGATGCCGTCAGAGCTTAAAATACAATACAATTATCTCCTAAGAGGACTGTTTGTCTTTTTATCGTTTTTATATCGGATGACCATGAGGGAATTCCGGTGTATTGCTGTCGGCTAGATTTCCATTACTTAACTTTCGTGTTGGGATTGTAACCGATCTATAAACATGATAAATGATAAATACGCGGACATTATCGAGTGCAAAATAACATTCCTTATCGCTTGTTAACTTATAAATTCATTTTTTCAATGGATACTCCTATAAATATTTTTTTAGAACATAAATTAATGATATGAAAATGTTTTGTCGTTAGAAATATATATATATGTAAAAAATCTTTAATATCTATGTACACGTACAGAAAATGTGTGTTAACGCATGCGAAAGAATATCTGAAGAACGTTTGCAATCTCCCATGCAGAGTTATCTGTCCTCGCTCTCTCTCAAGGACCGATAACTCTGCATGGGAGATTGAAAGTTTGGCGGGAAAATATGAATGCTTACTCAAATCCAATCTATTAGAAAAATTGAATTATTACAGAAGAGTGTCCACCATGCACTTGCACTGCACTATTAAAGTAGATTAATATAGTAGAATAGAATGATATACAAATGGATGAAAATTATATATACATGTAACTGTAATATACAAATATTAATATAATATATAACAACAAACCAGAGAATACTGATTTGTATCACTTCAATATCATATCTATTACGGTGATGTTGAATTCCCTGTCATTTATTTATCGTCCATGCTCGAACTTGTCTAAGAAAAAAAAAATATATCTGTACATTAACCTCACTTTCAGGTATAGAGATGTGATTTTTTTTTTCTGAGACAAGTGCTTGTGACCATCCACAAGAACTTGCAGTCATCCGATGTTCAGTACTTCTAGTGTTTTTGACCAAGGCGTTGTATATAAAAATACATTGTATAAGAAGATGTGGTATGATTGTCAATGAGACAACTCTCCACCTGTGACAAAATGGCATAGAAGTTAGCAACTGTGTTATCGACTTATGACTTTGGTATCTTCTGCCTATATTTCAGCGAAGAATCAAATTAAAGACATCCTTCAATCAATTTTTCGAGCAAATGTTTAAGGTACATAATTGAATTTCAAATTGTCGACAATCTAAGCTTTTGAAGTATTGATAAGATTGTTTATGCTGTTTTTGTTTTATACTTTGCAGTGGTTTTTGCCATGGCCTTAAAGACAAAAAAACTACACCAACGGTTACGAAGTACAGATGTGAAATCTCTGGATTTGTCGATATTCCATTTTATGTTTACTGTTTTCCACCTAAAGGTTTTGGGTTTGAATTCAAATCCTTCAAAATGGTAGTCTCACGATGTTGTAATTGTTCCAAATTTACATGTTCTAAATAATAAAGTGGATTTCTTAGTATATTACTATCTATATTTGTATTTTTAAAGAAATGAATAAAAGAAAATAGTGTATACATCAATAATACAACAATTCAGCAACACACAATCAAAAATGAACATCGTCTGTATCTCCCGATTTCAAGGTATAATACTTTTCAATATAGATCTCAATACATGCAGCAAAGTGCTATAATGGTATATGGAGCGATAATTTTCATGGCATGTTCAATTATTATCTATTTAGAGCTCTATTGGAGAAATCGTTCCGCTCAACTGGGGCGCCAAATGCAACATGAAAGCATATTTTGTCTTCTACAATGATCACTATATCAGCCGGAATCCCTAACACATTTAACTGAACTAAACTCTAGTTTTACATATGCAATCTCATGTAACGAATACAGCTTCTTTATGGTACATAAAGAAGAAGAAACTCGTGAAAGATATACCAGGCTTATAAGTTGCTACGTCAGACGTATATGAAGAACATTCTTGAACAACAAGGTTTGGAACCACTACAACACAAGGGAGCCTGAGACAGAGAAGTGATATACAATGTACTAAAAAATCGTAAATAATGTTTTATTAGTTTTTGCTGTACTTCCACAACACCAGGACCCGTGATTCAACTTTAAAATATCAGCAGACAGATGAGAAACAAACTGGACTGTTTCAAATGTTCATTTGTACCTTCAATCATCAAATCTTGGAATACCATACCTCCAGGTACAAGAGCTTCCCCGCCCGTGGAACTTTTTCGACATGTAATTCAAGCTGTTAGTGTGTCCATACAACTACTACTACCACAACTAAAACTTACATACCTATTTCATGTAAACTGCATACTCGGAAATGTTTAGCTGTTCATTAAGCTGGTGTATCAACATTCAAAAACGAGTCCACTCCTTCAAAGAGAGATAGACGGAATTCTTTTGGTAATTACACTATTTCATCATCCGCAATAAAAATAAGTGACAATTTTACGATACACAAAAAGTCCATGTGTAAATAAAGAAGATGAAAAATTATTCTGTAAATAGCTCACAAACAGTTACATATTCAACACCCCCCCCCAAACACACACACACACACACACACTGTTCCAGTCCTGAGTCAGGACCCTGTAATTCAGTTGTTGTCGTTGGTTGCTGTCTGTTATATTTGATTCCCGTTTAACATTTGTCATAAATCAGGCCGTTGGTTTGCAAAAGTGTGTAATTAGTTCATGCAAAATGCCTATAATTTGCCTTCTTTAATACAAAAGAAAACTCCCTTATTTTAATCAGTGTTGCAACCTTCTCCCTTTTCATTCGAATTATTTTTTATCTTTTATCTAACTAATTGATTGTTATATTTTAATAAACAAATGTTACAATATTCATCAAAATTGAAATTTGTGCATGATAACTGACTGAAAATGGTAAATTTTCTACCTCAAAATTTGCAATTTGAGCCAAAATCCAAGGAGACCCGTAACCATGACAACGGGGGACATAAACCATTTTTTTGTCAATATATTTCTTATATGTTTGTCGATAGCTACCAACAAACAAAATTTCAAAAATATCTGAGACTATGCGTGCCGCAACTTGGTTGGTGGTTACAGACAATTGCTATTAACAAGTTCCGGGTCTAATCCGACACTACGTCATTATACAGGGATTGACCCTTCTAAATTGACCAAAAAAATACATCTACAAGTGGTTTCCGGTTAATCAATCAAAGGATCAAAAGATATGCTTAATGTTTTATAAGTAAAAAAGACTTAACGGTCAAGATAGAATGGTCCTTAAGATGGAATAAAAAATTTAATCTGAAAAAGTGCACGATATTTATTTTTACACCACAAAAAAAGCTTAAAACTTCATTGGTTCCAGTATAGAATAATGCACAAAATAGTAGGCACAAAATTAATTTTTATCTTAAATTAAGATAAAACAAACTGATAAATATACTTTCTGCAATGGATCAATAGAAGATATTGAGCACATATTTTGGACATGACATAAAATATCAGATTTTGTTTTATAAAACATCAAACACAGATAATAATTCCATTAAATATCATTGTATAAGAAAATATAGGGAAAATAGGAAATAATAAGATAAAAAAAAAACTTTAATAATACTCTTGACAAAATTCTTTATGTATAGAACAAAACTGTTTTTTCACAGTAAATTTCACAGATCTCAAACATTATATCAGGGAATTTGAAATGCTAGAATAGAATGTATTTTTCAAAGTGTAACCTTTTTATCTGAGCAATATCTGCTGGGACCCCTGACTTCCAATACTGGAATATTTTGTATTTTAAGAACAAGGTATTACCTGATTTAGTCTCACGTTGCATAGTCAAACCTTATCCACATCACCATATATGTTATCTATATAATATTGTTATGTGTTTTACTTTTGTTATTTTGTTTGTAATTATAACTAATTTTTTATATTTATTTGTGCTCGTACAAATATTACAAAAGAAAACCATCATTGAGAGCTGTGATGAATGCTGTAATCAAGATATATTTTTGATGGAAGATATTATGTCCTGTTGCCAAAAACACAAATTTCTGTGATTTTTATCTATCAATTTTTTTTCTTCTTTCTTAAAAATATAGATTTTTCTTTATTGTAAGTTACTATGGAAGCTATGGATATATTATTATCTGGAAATGAATATTTTAGAAGTACTAACAAGTAAAACAAAAGTGCACACGCTGAATGTCTCGAATGCTTTACTTACATTGATTTAATGTTGACAGTCTTAAAAATAAAGGTTTTACTACAATTATATCATGAACTTAACGTTATGATTGATCAATGACATCAGGGTCAAGGTCAGATAAACCCTGGCAGACATATATGTACACCTTACAATCATTCCATATACCAAATAAAGTTTAACCTTTTGTTTATAGTATTAAAGAAACAAACCAAACTATGAAAACTTAACATTGACAAAGAACATGAAAATGAAATCAAGGGCAGATGAAACCTGCCAGACAGACATGTACACATATTCCATATGGTTGACCTATTGCTTATAGTATCAGCAAAACAGACCTAATCACGTAACAACTTTAACCTTGATCACTGATCCATGAAACGAGTCGTGTCAGGTGAACTATGCCTGAAGGACATGTAGACGTTGCAAAGAACCCATATACCAAATGTGGTTATCCTATTACTCATAACAAGTGAGAAATTCACATGACAAAAAAATTAAATTTTTATTAAAGAAGTCGCTGAACCATGAAAATGAGGTCCAGGAGAATGTACATATGAAAGATGAAAAGTTTGGAACATAAGGTATGTGAATACCAGGGTATGAAGCATCTAGCTCTACTATTTTCTGAAATATAAATCTTTATACAAATAGCCGCCGCAGCAGGATTGTAATCCCTATGTCTCACTGCGATTTTAACAAAGTTGGGATAATGTGCTGATTTTTCCTGTATCCAACTAAGAAATGACAAAATTGTAAATAAAGTATGAAACAATTTAAAAAAAAATTAGATTATTAATAAAGACCAATTAATTCTGTCTAAACTAACACTTCATACTTTATTTGGTAGTATTTTGGGTGTTAAGCCCGTTTCAAAGTGTTAAATATTTCATAAATATAAAATTATGATAACTATAAGTTTGAAGTCGAAAACACTATACCACTTGACACTTTTTGATGGAATACCGTTAGGGCGCTACCATTTGATTTTTATGGGAAAGGGGGGGGGGGAATAAAAAATTTTGTCCTGCATTTTTTTTAGTTGTTATCTCTGTCCTGCATTTTTACTTTTCCCTTTATTCGGTCCTGCCTTTTTTTTTTATTAGTTTATTCTGACTTTTTTAACATAAATTGTCATCCTGCCATTTTTTGCCAAGTTGCTCAGCCTGCCTTTTTTTTTACTCAAAACTCCTGTCCTGTCTTTTTTTTTTCAAATTTCATCCTAGCCAACCCCCTCCCCTCATAAAAATCAAACGGGAGCCCCCTTACCTAGTATGAAAGATATAATAATTCTACTATACACATATAGTAAATATATTAAATTACTGTTTTTTTATTTTTTTATTTATGTGTTCTATTCAAACAAGAGTAGAAATCTTCAACAGGGGCCTGTTTATCGAAGCTCTCTCTTGTGGACTTATAATAACATTCTAATAGGAATCCAGTCCATAGCAAGGAAGAAGAAAGAAGAAGAAGAAGGACTAGGACATGTCCTAAGATCATCTTAGGACATATCTTTGTCCTAAATGGGTTTATCAAACATGTCGTAACTTATGAAAAGTCATTGGAATCGTCCTAAGTTTAGGACACCTATTTAGGTGTCTTAAGATGGTCTCAGGATAGTCCTAACTTTAGGATATATTATTTGATAGTAAATATATATTAAAAACGACCACCGCCTATATATGTTTATCTAGGTAGCAGTACACATAATATATAAATAAATCACATTAAAAAAATGAAGAAAAAGGTTAAAATATGAAAGAATATTTACTTTATAAAAAAGTTTAAAAAAAAACAAAAAGAACTTAAGTTTCAGAAAAAGGGCCTGTGGTCCGTAATTAAATAATTTATGAACTCCGAATTTACATGAAAGATGCACGAGATTTGCCTTTGAACTATGTAAAGTATAAAACCGTGACACTTCGAATTAAACTCACTCAAACATACATATTAAGTGGGTGTCTTCCTCCCATTCCCATTTTTTAAAAATCACTATTCCTTCTATTTCCACATGCAAATAACAATAGATGTTTTGATAAATAATTTGCTTTTATAACAATCAAGGTTAATTAAGAATTCACCTAAGATTTACCTGTATTTTTTAAAAGAAAACATATTTCTTACACATTTTAAATATAATATTATTTAAAAAAAATAATAATTTAATACTTTTTTTATTTGTAATACTTAAAAATAAAGAATAAGTCAGATAAATAGAAGTAAGATTAAAAAATCATTGAATTTGTAAATTTAAAACATTGTCATCCGAACAAATAAGTTGA